ATGAAAGCCATGACATAATGGCATCGATTCCTGTCCTCATGTGTTGGCATTCGGTCTCCGATTTGTGTCTCAATCTCTTGTCTCAACTTTCGCTGCATTTCCGGGTAATACGACAACAAAATGAGTAACCATTGAAATGTCTGTTGGGATGTATCGGTTCCGGCGAAAAACAGATCAAATATAGTCATCGCCAGGTTTCCATCGGTGAGATAAGGGGCCGACTCTTTACCCTCACTGAGGGCCTCATTCTTAGCGGTTATGAGTGCATCACAAAAGTCCCTTTCAATGGATTCCGAGTAGTCTTTCTGATGTGAAATATATTTATGTTTCATGAGTTCTGCGGTGTCTTTAAATAATTTGCTCATTTTATTGACTCGTTTTTTGTCTAATAGTCTCAATATGGGTGAGAATTCCCACAAAACAAAGCGAGCTCCGACCTCTCGAACATAATCACTTAAAACATACTTCAAATCCTTAAACTCCTTGTCCTCCAAATCATAACTATTCATATAATCATATTCAGTAAAGTAAGAAATAAATATATGTTCAGGTATCAATTATTATGCAATGCTTACCTTTGCCCAAACGTACTGGTGGCTAATATGTTGAGAAATGTGAGATATATGTAATTGATGGGCGAAAAGGGTTTACCCACTCCTTCCTTATCTAATATAGTCTTCACCGTCCGGTCCACACAATCGGTGGCCACGTATGCCAGCCTATCGTTTGTCGAGTATTTTCTATAAATCAATTTAATTTTGGGATGAAATATGATTTAATAATTTATAAATTATTGTCAATACAGTATCTAAATTTTTAAGAAATTTGACACATACTGTACGGCCGAGTGGGCGACCCTTCTAAGGGCTTCCCATGTATGTCCGTAATCGGTAAATACAATGTCTTTAGACGTGTCATTAGATAATTGAGATCCTATTTCATAGAAAAATAATATTTCGATATTTTTTGTTTTTAAAATTGTAAATAAATGATTAGTGTACCGAAAAATGATTCAGTCCTGCCAGCAATGTCATTTTTCTTGAACGCCTCGCGAGCCATATCTATGTCCGTAACAAATACGTGGGGGGCGTTTCCCAACCAAACCGTGAATACCGGGCCGTACTTCTTGGCCACATTCCGGAGCACATCATCGAAATGGAGTTTCGATTTGAACACTGTTTTGAATTTTATTTTTATAATTAATTTATTAGTTTTTAAGACTTATAACAACTATATTATAAATACTTACTCAATATATTCCCCAATAAAGGAACTGGATGTGGCCCGGGAGGCAAAGTGGATCTCAAGTGATAAAATTTAGCTATTCTATACACTATATAACCAATTATCAGGGTTATTACCGACGTGCGAATATCTGTCGCAAATAGTGACAATAAATGCGATAATATAGACATTTTAATTACTAGTATATGTATAAAATTTATTAATGAATCTTCTAAAAGGATATTTTTAAAATACACTTTTAAATACTTATAAATAAAATTCTCTCTTCTTATATACCTCTAAAATAAAGTTTTTAATAAATTTATCCTTGAAATCAAATGTCGTCACTTTATGGATGGGATTGCAATATCTAATCACAATTACAGTTGTCTGTAAATTCTGATTATCCCATTGTTTACAATATAATTATAGAATATATGAATTATACTGCAAACGCAAATATTGTTAACACACAAATATTTTTAAAACCTATTTAAACTAACATTTAGTATAATTTAATAATTAAGTAAAATGAAATAAATAAAACAATTCAACACTGTATATACAATATAATATTGTCAATATTAATATATAATAGAGTTAATTAATTATAAACAGCATTTATTTATACTATAAGTAGCATAGTGCGCTATATAACATAACAAATTAATAAGTGTACTGGTGATTATCTCCAGTACATTAAGGACAGTGTTACCCAATAGTACCTTAGAGTATAAACATTCAATGTTTACATTATTACAAAAGTAGATATTATTTTTAACATATCTTGAATTTTCTGAGAAGTTTAGTCATATGATTTAAATTGATTTATTTAAATTTGATTTAATTAATATTGCCCAAAGATCTTATTTTTAAGGCTCTTAATTTAAAACAAAATTATATAATATTTTTGTTAATATATAAATACATGCAGATATTAGTTGTATAAGGATAAAGGTAATCCAACAGTTTTGCTAAATATTAAGTAATAAATAAAGAGTAATGAACTAAGATTTGTAATTTATTTTAAAATGAATATGCAACATTTTTGAGCAAAGTTACATTGTTTTTAAGTAAGTATATTGATTTAATATTTTTATTATGTTTTTATATATCATTTACAATTATGATTATTCATTAATATTTAAAAAATACTTTTATAAAAATAAAATAACTATTGGGTGTCCCATCGTATCAGTAGGATTTGTAAATTAAATTAAAAATATTTACAATTATATTTTACTAACA